TGTCAGAGCGGAGGTCGTTCTAGCCGACACAGAATCGTCTATGCTTACGCCCTCGTCTAGACAACCTCAATTGGCATTCAAAACCATTCTTTTCTTTATTAAGTCATCGCATCTATTTGAAGATTGTGGCCTGTTTTGGCTATTTTCGGAAACGCTCGTAGCACTTGCTGGAGGCGTACGCTGTAATCGACCATCGAAGCTTTCGGCGCTCTGCAAACTTTGTCGTTGGGGGATTCCGAATGCACACGGTCGGTCATTATGGCGGGGGGATGTCTGTCCCCGATGATAGATTGACGCGGTTAGCGATCTGGGGACCGAGTTATCGTCCAACACTCGCCAAATCAAGCAAAAGGCACTCGCATTCACATCCAGGCTCAGATGCATCAAGTTCACTCCATTTGCTGATCACAAGGGGAATACACTGCCCGCCCAAGATTATACCCCTTCGGATTCGTCGAGAACATGTAGGATGCGCTGCAAGCTATCAGGTCGAAGGGATCCGTGAGATGGTGTGCTCCATCTTCACGTAATTGCGAAGATGGGCCAGTTTGTGTGCCCGAAGATTCTGCTAGCGACCGAGTGGCTGGCAAAAGGGGCAATGCATTCGCTCTCCGTACAGACCCGTAGAAAGCATTCTGACTCTACAGTGTTATAACTTGGTATCCTAGGCTGGAAGGTAATGGTAACCTTGCCATTTTGGCAAAAAAGGGTTGGATATATGACTGTCATGTTATTTCCGGTGATGAATACTACACTTTTCTTATTAACCTCGGAGAATGAGGCCCTCTGTGAATTTCTATTCCTGTCTTGCGACCTATAATTGGGGATCGACCGATGCACGGTGCGTAAAGTGTACAGTGTTCTGATTCTTGACACCAAACTGCTTCTACGCCCATCCTATTGTGGTTGACGTTGAATAGGCTTCTTGCCAAGCGCTCCAACGAAAACTTGAACTCGACCATGAACTTGACATTTCTTTTGACACGGACATAAGTTATGAAGATCCATCTATCGTCGCTCTTACGCTCGAGATATATCCATTCGAGTCCTTTGAATCTCGGATTTAGAGCCGGTTTCCACACCAGTGTGTCGACAAGCCAACAACTCAAATATCCTTTCCCGAGTCAAGCCAATCCGACGGCCCATGATATATTTCATCTTTCTCCAGATGCATCTGGTGCTGATATCAAGAAACGATGTGAGTGATCCGTTATATCCGTCGCTCCTTACTAAACATCAAATTTTTGACAAATTTTTCTCATGTGCGTGTATCGCCAGACTTTGAGCTCGTGCGGATTTACCACCCAGACACCGCACAGTCACAAGGCATAACTGTCGAACAAGCAGAAGCAAGGTTCCACGCCATCACTCAAGCCTACAACGCTCTCCTACAACTCGACCCAGATTACCGAGCAAAATCATCCGATGGGACGTCCCTCGATAAGGAAGCGGAAGAGATTAAAGAACGACTGGCCAAGTGGTCACGTATGGGACAGTCGTCTCAGGACAGGGCGCGTCGCCAACGCGCTATGGATGCAGAAGCATCTGCTGGGAAATGGTGGAAGTCGGATCTGTCCATTGTCTACTTACTCGGAGCAGTGGTATGTCGATTCATTTATTATCATGTGTATAGGGCATTAATGGCATTCAAGATGGTGGTCGTCACTGTCATGCAAGTACAAGGTCGCTCAATTCCGGCACAGAAGGAAAGGTTGAAAAAGTATATAGACATGCCAATTGAGGTTGTCTAGACGAGGGCGTAAGCATAGACGATTCTGTGTCGGCTAGAACGACCTCCGCTCTGACA